AAATGGTCAAGGGCCAATAGATTGTAAGACATTGAGGCCTCGGGTATAAATGGTCGAGGGTCGATGCACAGTTCAAGCCTTGGGGATAAATGGCAAGGTTGAACGCCAAGCCTCTGTAGATGAGTGTCGGGGCTTAGGGATAAACGGTAAGGGTCGATACGATTCGAGGAGTTAGACTTGGGGAACTAATAAGCCAATATGATTGAAAAGACGTCGAGGCCTCGGGTATAAATGGTCGAGGGTCAATGCACTAGTGTCGGGGCTCTGGGTATAAATGGTCAGGGGCCGACACTACCAACAGAACGGTCTTGGAAAGCTTGGATGGATGAGATGAACTTAGATTTGCCTGAAGCGCTAGGGCGCCATGTGAACTGTAGTTGATTTGTTTACGATTGTGGTTAGCATCGGGTTATATAGAACACGTTCATGATTGAATGTATGATGTCATTGTGGAACATGTCTATAGTTGTTCGCATACTGTAATGATAGAGCATGACGATGTATGTTTCCCTTATGTTTTGAGCATGACGATGTATGTTTTCTTTATGGTTTTTGAGCGTGATGTGTGTGTGTGTTTGATGAGGGCTACTTACGGAGTATATTTTATATACTCACCCCCCCCCTTCTACAATGATTGTTTCAGGTGAAGGACTCGAGGGTGACCTTGCTGATGGGACGGGGGAGACCTGACAAACAAGGACTATAGGCTGCTTAGTTTTTCTTATTTAGTCTAATTCTTTTGTTAGGGCCTTATGTTGTGGCCAATAAACGGATTATGTACCTTTGACTAATTGGGAGATTTGTCCTTGTTGTTAGTTATGCCTTGGGTTACGTGTCTATTTGAGCTTTATCCCATTTGCTTAGAATCATTTAGATTGAATAATAAACTTGCCTCGTGAAGTAGTTCACGAACGTTGTTGCAGTTTTTGAGATTGGTTTATCGTTAATTTGATGAGATTTGTAGCTTGATTTTATAAGTTTATGTTCAAAGGAAGTTGGCAAGTTGTAATCGGGGCTAAAACTGATTAGTTGGGTAGTTCATGTGACCTAGAGGTGCGCGAGATTTCTGGGTCGTTACACTGCAATTTGACTATCTTGTTCTGTGCTTTCAGACTCAACAATCATCGCAACCTCTTCCTCCACTTCAACAATTTCATGATTCATCCACTGAAGACGAGGACCATTGACTCTACGCCATCATTCAAGGCAGTTTCCTTCTACTACTTCATATTTTGTTCGGACTGCTATTTTTAATTTTGATTGCATCGTTTTTCTTTACATTGGGACAATGTAACATCTAAGTTTGAGGGTAGTGGAATCTGGTCTGTAATAATTATTTTTGGATGATAGGTTTACTCTGATTCATATATGCTGATTTTCTCTTTCAAACCTTGAATTATGATTAATATCCTTGAAATTTTGGTGGGTTATGAATGCATCTTTGAGTGGCTTCTTTATGCATGAAAGAGTTAAGTGTGACTGTTTTTGTTTTCCTTCTTGAAAATTTTATGATGGTTTCTCGTTGGATTATTGAATTAAAATTGTCATTGACTTGACACTATTTACATACCCAGTGAGCTTTTGAGCCTTAGAGCAATCCATTACATCTTGCTCAATTTTCATTCTTGTGTGTGATCGAACTTGACATATTTATTCTAGAACTTGCTGGTGAATGCATCTTGTGACCACCTGTTTGAATTGGTGTCTTAAGATGATAAGGGCAATTTAGGTTTACCCACAATTTGAGACTTCTAAAGAGCCTACCTTGTTTTATTTTCCTTTAGAGAGCCATATTTGAGCATAATTTTCCATTCTTTTTCTTGGATTGAACACGTTTATTAGTCCTGAGGCCTGTTTCGGATAATATCCTCTCTATTTCTTTCTTTACCAGTGTCAAGACAAGGGAGGAAAAGTTGCATGATCTAATTTTTTCGATTCAAGCCAACTTTGTAAGAGAAAAAAAAAGTTTGATTGAAAAGAAAATGAAAAACAAAACAAAACAAAACAAAAAAAAAAGAAAAAAAGTTTGTTTGGAGAAAAAAAAGGGGGTTTCATAAGTGTATTCTCTCTTCTTCGTTGAGTGATGGAGAGAAAGCTTTTGGAGAATTATCTTTCAAGGAGTAATAAATTCTTATGTTTCTCTAGGAGTGTTAGTGTTCGATGGTTCATTGTATTCATTGTTCATTGGCTTCAGCACGTCATGTAGTTAACATGCAACCTAATATCTCCTTTGTCTTGATTATGAGCCTCTTAAATTCCTTTTATCTCACCTTTACCTAAGCCTCATTACAACCTTTATCAAAGTCCATTTGATTTTGTGCATTCAATTCATATTTGAAAGGGGAGATTTGATTCACTTGCAAGCTTATGGTAATAACGTGCTTTGTTCTGATTCTGAGAGTTAAAATACCTTGAAAATATGTTGAGAGAATTGAGCGAAATCCTGTGAGAGTGTCGAGTCTTTGCTTTTGATTTCAAGAAGTTGATGAGATGCTTGAGTTTTTTTTCAAAATATTTTTTTCACTACTTAATCTCTTGATTGTCATCTGGAATGATCTCGTAAGGTGTATGATTGACTTGTCGATTTTTTTTGGAGCTTAAAAGGTTGAAAGGGTTTAGAACAGGGAGTCAGTATATTGAGTTACGAGATGTTCAGGGATGAGCGTGTTATAGGTGTCAGTAGTCTGCTTGGATTTAGTGGTCAGTAACTAGTTTTGTTTGCTTGAGGACAAGCAAAAAGTTAAGTTTGGGATATTTTGATAGTATACTTTATACACCACATTTCATGATATTCAGGTGGAAATTATTTAACAATTTTCGGTCATTTATGGCTTATTTACATGCATAACTGATGTTTTTATAGGATCAAACCATTAGAAAGAATTGGAGCATAAGCGATCGATTGAGGGAAAACTAGAGCGAAAAAGAGGAGCTTAGTTAAGCCACATCAGCGCCGCAGCGCCATCATGTAGCGCCATGGCGCCTGCAGATCAAACTTTGTAGCAAAATCCCGAAGAAGCAGTGCCCAGCGCTAGTATACAGCGCCATGGCGCCCTGCAGACGAAGCTTGGGCCTCTTTCCTCGATGACAGCGCCAGAGAGCTGTATTGTAGCGTCATGGCGCTACAAACTTGCACGTTCGTCACAAATCTGGGACAGTGCCATGGTGCTCACTAATGGCGCCATGGCGCTGCAGCGATACCCTAACTTAAAAGAAATTTGAGTGCACCGTTTGGAGGGACGAGGGGGGACTCTCACATTGGAGAATGGGAATTTGGAGAGGATTGGCTCGAGATTTGAGGCAAGAAGGGCGAGGAGACGATTTTCGAAGGCTCGTGATCGTGGAGATTAAGTCGAGGACGGTCAATCGACACTATGCTTTTAGTTTCTCTCCTTTCCCTTATCTTTTCTAGATTTATTATGAAATTCTTTGTGGAAATTTATTGTATTTTCGTGAACATGAGTAGCTAATCTTCTTGTTCTAGGGATTGACGTAGCCGTTGGATTTATGAGTTGGATTTATGAACATTTGTTTTGATTGATTTGTTTTTAATCTATTTGTGCATTTATTTGTTTAATGCTTTTAATCTCTTTATCACGGATTAATTGTTGCTAAATATGAATCTTACGCTCGGGAGAGGTGGTTTAGATTGGAACCTGAATGCATGACTTTGGTAGTTCTAAGATCGGGAGATTTAGAATTACCTTAGAGGTTGTTAAAAGACTAAGTCTTAAGGCCCTGTTTGTTAATGAAACTAGATAGGGATACTGGTTTCTTAATAAGTGGGAGAATTAATTGTGCTCGGGAGAGACTTTCATGATTCTTGAGTTCTTGACTTATAGATTAATTGCATATTCAATCTTGACATGTTTAATTTGTCCGCTTGTAGGTTCAGTTGGTGAAATCACTTTCCTAGGACCCGTTCTCCATAAGAGTTTTCTTTAGAGTTTCTTTATTCGCTTTGTTATTTTATTTTTGTGTGTCAAAAGAAATTCCTAATTGTTTCTCTAGATAAAATTGGACATTAATATTTGTAGTACTTGAATGACTAGAAACCCGATCCAGTGGACAGTATCGGTAATTACTTACCACTTTTATTAAAATTTGACCCGTACACTTGCGGTAGGCATTTTCTGCTACAAAAATAAATCTCTAGTAGATCCTATCAAAGATTCAGATCTAAAATGAAGATATTATTGACAAAATATTCATCAGTAATGTCCTCTACCGAAGATCCAAGGATTTAGAGCATCCAAGTGCATGGATTTATTGTCGGCCAAATGGGCTATAATCAGGTGCTGCGGATCCACGCCAACTGGAAATCCTACGGCCATCATCATGATCAAGATCAAACGGCTCCACGTGGCCATCACGGCCAGATGTACTGAAGCTGATGTTGCAGTGGGACCCCTCGCAATCGTGTGGGAACAGAACGGTATAATTGGAATTAGAGCAGTAATTTTGGAGGTAACGGTGGAGGCTGGAGTTCCGGGCTTGCATTTGGAGCCTCTTCTTCTTCAGCCTCTCCTTCTTGTGAGCGTTCTGGTGACCTCCCAAAGCATGACAGTTGCTGAACTTCTTCACGCAGTACTGGCACCGGAATCTCTTGCTCCTGATTGGCCCGTCACCCACGTCCCCACACAGCGCTGTCACCGGAGAATCTTCCGCTGGGTTGATCATCAGTTCAGTCCCGAACAATCTTATCGTTATGGCCTTCTTCTGGGAGGAAAAGAGTGGAGAGACAAAATCGGGAGGGAATCGTTTTTCCATTACTTTCTTTTTTTTCTTATTTTGAAGAATGACTTTCAACTCCATTCAATGTAGTTTTATAATAAATATTGGGAAGTAACTATTTAATTAATTAACTTAATTAAAGGCAAAAAGCAATAATAAGATTGAACAAATAAATATATGTGAGAAGATGACAATTTTGATATATATATTATTGTTGTTGCCTGTTGGGTATACTGGTACTTGATTAATAATTTAGAGGTTAGATCAAGTGTGTGTTCAATGTAAATTTCTTTCAAACCTAATTAATTGATTATTTATTTTTAGACATGAGTTGAACTTAATGCACAATATGTCAACTATTCCTATTAATTGATTAATTAAGTAGAGCTTTATATAAACCTTCCAATTAAATTGTGTGTGGGCAAATCTCGTCTATCGTGGGCATAATGATTATTCATGATCCAACAAACTCAAATACCAAGTATCTACAAATTTATATGACCCAATTTATAGGAACATTAACAAAGCGACTACTCTTCGAAAGTGATTACTCAATGTTCGAAGAATGGGGTCACTACTACAGGTGAAATATCATTCATATATCAAATATCAACCAAACCAAACAAGAGACAAGAGAACTTGCTTGAGCTGGTCCACCTGAACCAACCAATGACACTCCCTCTAGACCTGGAGTGCGAATTAGGCTCTCACAATTCTACTATTTTGGTACTTTCAACTAAATCTTTTGCTAACTTAGACATCATCAAAGGGTGTTGTGCTTACCACCAGTGCAGTTTTCTTTGTGTGCAGGTGTTCATTGGAACTATCGATGTTGGATATCAAAACTAAATTTCTGAATCAACAGTAAATTTGTTCCGTGTCACATCTAGCACAAATGAGTGCATATATAAAGTAAATTTGCCCTTGGTCACATCTAGTACAAATAAATAAAAATGATCTTTTTTCTTCATTCTCTTTCGTCTAGAAATGGGAGAAGACAACTCTTGTATTTGTTTATGGTAGAGATGCAACAAATCGATGAAATCGACAAAATCAAAAAATTGAATCGAACCAACTTTTAAAATTTGTTTTGTCGGTTTCTCAATTCGGTTTGGTTCGTTAAAATGTCCAAACCAAATAATACAATTCGATTCCTGTTTAATGTTGAAAACTAAATACCAAAATAGAATCCAACCATTTATATATACACATATATAACTATATTTTATAGTTTTTAGTTTTAAATTAATATATTATAAATATTAAACAAAAATATATTGGACGCGGTTCCCATGATGATTAATGAGGATGGGATGTCTTCTTTAAAATTAGTATTTATAAGTAGGCTAAGCAGTAATGTCAAAGTTTTAATTTTTTTCTCTTTTAATTTTTTTCTTTCTTCTAACTCTCAAAATTTATATTAGGTTTCACTTCCATTCTACTTTTATTTTAACGTTTTTTTATTCTACTTCTCATCTTCCTCCTCCAACTCTTCCTCCTCTAACTCGCGCCTCATGTCTTTTTCTCCCCTCTCCTATATTACTGTTTCAACCTTTAACCCATCATGTCTTTTTCTCCCCTCTCCTATGTTACTGTTTCAACCTTTAACCCAGTTTGTGCAACAAAGTGAATGATTTTGATCAACCAAGTCAAGATGGACCGACGGAGCGAGTTGGGTGAAATGGAGAGAGCAGATATATCATAGTTGGGAAGGAAGAACCTGCACAATAGGGCAAAAACTCCAATGCTCAGGCCAATTTAGGAGTTCGACCTTGATATGAAGACTGAGAAACAATGAGATACCTAACTGTGGAGTGAAACTCCCTGTCTATAGATTTGTGTGTCCAACAGTGCGTTCGACCGACGCGGTTGAGCATGTCGGATTGTAAGTATTCCCGTCGGAGGTGCTCGTGTAGAATTTGATGTGTCTCCACCCAGAATTTGGCAAAGTGTAGCAGTTCATTCCATTGGTGGGACAAATATTTATGACTGACCTGGTGATCGGTTCTTTGATGAGTGAGCTCAACCATTTCGAGCTGGGAATGGTTTATCTCTAATTGTGCTCCATGTGGCAACGTTTTTTTTTCGCACCTCCAACATTGGCCCCCTCTTTAGTAGGTCGTGGCTCCGACCTTGTAGAGAAGTTATTCTGGGTCGTGCAAAGTCTGTTCACGTGGTGATTTTATTAAATCTCGAGATTGGTGAAATATAGTCGTCGGGAAGGCGAAGGGTCGGTCTGACAGCTAGTTTCACAGTCGCATGCCCTGGCTTCTCGCCCAATGCTTGATCTTGTTTGTTAACCTTCATACACGTGTGGCATCGAGATTTATTTCCATGAGGTATATATACCGTGGTTGTTCCGTCTCATTCTCCACATTATCTGAATAAGTAAGTTCGACCTGCTAGCTCGAAGCCTCTTAGTTCAGTCTCCCTTTTACTTGCCTTTGCATTTTTATTTCAATATGTCTAGTTCAAGTGGTAGGACATATAATGCTACGAAGAGGAAGTATATGCTGAGGAAGTATATTCATGACCCTTCGCACGTCTTGGACCCCGAACCATTGCAACTGGATGAGTCCTTGTGCTACGAAGAGGTACCCGTCAAAGTTTTGGCAAGAGAAACCAAGTTGTTGAGGAACCGGACGATTCGCTTGGTTAAGGTTTTATGGAGAAACCACCAAGTGGAAGAAGCTATTTGGGAGCGGGAGGACGATATCAAGGCGAGGTACCCTGAACTGCTAGAACAGTCAACTTTCAGGGACGAAAGTTTTTGAAGAAGGGAAGTCTGTAACGCCCCGAGTCCCTCAGGTTAGTTGGTCTCGAAACAGGAGATTTTCATTTAATATTAAATTTATCTATATTTATCGGGCTCTAAAAATCCAATTAAATTAATATTTACCGAACTTTGTATGTTGGGTCTTGTTTTAAGGGAATGGACTCCTTCTTCTTTGGGCTTGGA